GACTCCAGGAGCCGTCGGGAGCGGCCCTGCTCGGGCTGTCCCCCGGGGAGCGGCGTGCGGCGGGGCTGAGGCCGCGCACACCTCGGGACGCCTCAGCCTCCCGCCGCCACGAGCCGGGGTGCGAGGCATGGCCCACCCGGGCTCCGTGCTGTGCCGGGGCTTGACTCATCCTGCAGGGGCCCATCGCGGGGACACTGTCCGGCTTGAACCGGGCTGAGTGGGAGCACAGGCAGGGCGCCAACAAGCTGCCCAGCTCACACGGGAGGGTGGCCACTGCCCGTGGAAAAAACCCTCTGTGTTGTGGTAAACATGTCTGGGGGGAAGGGGAAACAGGAGAAAGCCTGGCTTTCCCTGAGCACTTTCCCATGCACAGTGCTGGCATGGGCACAGCACAGCATGGCCTTGCTACAGCCCAGCCCCAGAGTGTCTCACACCCAGCATGGAGGCTCTGCCAGCCACCAGCAGGCTCCAGGCTCTTTTGCCTGGCAAACAAAAAGCGTTCCCCAGGAAATCACCGTAAGCTTCACGCACCAAACCTCACACTGCTTCACAAATCAAACTGTTCCCATGTGAAAGCCAGGGCTGCCAGGCAGTGAGTCTCATGTTTTGATGTGTCCTGGGCCCATGCTGTATCCGGCCAAAAATCTAAAGCACACATGGAGAGGAAAGGGAAATCCATTCATCGCTTCCGACTATTTACAGAGTGCTCTGGGGCCGCGCGGTGCCCATGGCATGCTGAGGGAGGGATGGCAGTGAGCAGGGGCTCCCACAGTGCAGCTGCCTGGCCACCCCACAGCAAGAGGGGTGGAGAGGATCTGAAAAAGATGGAGATACCAGGTGCAGCTGCCCTTATTTGCCTGGAAAATGAAGCTGGCTATAGAGGCCAGTCAGGCTCAGAACTGTGTGCTTACATGTGCAGCTCATTCTGTGCTTCCCTGGCAGCTGTGGGGGAGCGCATCACACAGAGCCCGAGTTACAGTGCACTCTGTGAAATGCCCTCTTTCAGGAGGATCTGTTTGAGGATGGGATCATTCATGCAGAATTTTTTGTGGAATGGGAGCCATATAGGGTCATTCTCTGCAGCCCATACCCAGGAGATCTCAGGGATCCATTGAGGAATCTGACCCAATGCGATTTGTTTGCTTGTGTTTTTTTTTTTTTTTTCTAGGAGCACCTGGATAAGAGCTGTGCTGTCTATATGTGCAGATTCCTTTGGCTGGAGGTAGGGTAGGAAACCTTTCTGGGGAGTTTTGTGGCCAGCTAGGACCTTACAGCTCCAGTTTAAGTTTATCTGCCAGAGGAGGCACCCGAGAGATAGACACAGCTGAGCACAGCCAAAGCAGCTCTCTACACTTGCTCTCCTGCAACATGGAAAGCTCCAATTGCCCAATATGCAGGACACTCCAAGCACCTGAATATCTGCTGATTTCATGATCCTCAGCTTTTTTTTGCTGAATCACAACAGGCTGAAAAAAAAAAAAAAACCAAAAAAACCCAAAAAACCCCCAAAGACTGACAAAAATACCACTTTTTGTTATCATTTGCACATTCTAATGCATGGCACCACATGCCAGAAACCATAACACACAGATACATTTCCTGATAGGAAATGCAACTGCCTTGCAGATCCACCAATGGACTGGGCTGCCTCAGCAACACTTTCTAGCCCTGCTTCTCTGGATGCTTGTTTTGTTTTGTGTCCTCAGTGGGTCCTGGGGATGCCCCACAAGGCTGAGCTAAGGACTGATCCCACCAGGCATAGGAACATCCTGGAAGTGGGGTATTTGAGAATCCCCAGCCCGCCTTGGCAGCTGGAAAGCAGGAGCTGCCTGCTGCATTGGTATCCAGCACATGCCCACAGGATGAAGGACAGGCTGCAGGAAAGCCCTTTCCCTGAGGAAAGGGTGGGACGCGCGGCTGTGGAGGAGCCCTTTGGCAGCTGGGGGAGGAGGGGCTGTCCACGTCCCAGGACAGTTCCAAAGTGCTCTTGCTGGCAGTCGGCTTCCTGTTGATGAGCAGGCATGGAACCAGGGAATGAGGAGCAGGGAAGAGAGCTTGAGGCTCCCTCTTGCTGCAGAGGCAAAGCCAGGAGCAGGTGCAGCCAGTTCTTTCCCTGCCTGGCCTGTGGCTCTGCCTGTCTTGCCCACTCACCTGCTCCATCACCCGTGGACACAGGCGCAGGTCTGGCGTGCCAGCAAAAACCCATGAGATGCTGCTTTGACATGATTTCTCAGACTTTCACTGACTCGGTGGCAGGATTGGAAGGGAGAACTACTGTTAAGTGGCAGGTCTGCAGGGGGGGGTGCCAAAGGTGGTGGGGCACTCCATCCTCTGGGACCTTCATGGACAGGAGCTCTTCACTGAGCTGCTGCTGCTGCTGGGCCCAGAGACCTGCCAGTTTGCTGCATGCTTTGAACACCTTTCTGCTGGAATTCCTGCAAGACCTTTATTTTCCTGTAGAATACTTTCCTGCTGCCTCAGCCCCACTGTCCCCATGGACCAACACCTGGAGCAGGCTCAGGCTGCTCTCCTCCAGCGCGGTGTCTCAGGGCAGATGCCGCAGAGGTGCCCCCTGGCCTCTGGAGGCCCCCAGCCCTCCCAGGGTCCTGCTGCCAGCCCGGCAGCCCCCACAGCGCAGCAGGCAGTCCTGGTCACCGATCACGGGCGGCCACACGGCTGGGAGGTGATGGGGCGCGGCTGTTAATGTGTAACTGGCACCGCCACCTTTCACCAGCTCGGGAGGAGCGGGGCCGGGGCGCAGCGGGGACGGGGCGGCAGCCAGGCTCGGTGCCGGGCGCTGCTGTCTGCGGGGCCGGCGTGTGGGGACCCGGTGGCGGCCCGGAGCCGGGCGGCCGCGGCCACACCTCGCCCGGCAGGGCCGGCTCTGCCGGCTTCCCAGCTTTCCCCGAGACTTGTTTTTCTGGCCGGAAGTTTCCTGGAGCCAAATGGCTCCTACCTGCCTGCTCTGCTGGGTCTGTAGCCTCCTCTGCGTCTGGCCGGTGGTGATGGGACACCCCTGCAGCCTTGACCACCAGGTAGGGGGGCCGTGGGGCTGCGGTGCGGGCAGCAGCTGGGGGTGGGCAGGGCCCCGCTCCTGGTCCTGCCAGCTCAGCTGGGGTGCCACGGGGCAGCAGGGCCTGGCAGGCAGCTCCTGCTCTCACAGCTCAGGAGAAGACGAGTGATGAAAACCCACGGGAGCCAGCAGAGTTAATTGGGAGATGTACTGTGCCAGTGGCCACCAGCCACAAGGGTGGTTTGCCCATGCCCAGGGCCTGGCTGTCCTGCTCCCAGCCTTGGGCTGAACATGTCATGTTGTCCAGCCTGTTCACCAGAGCACGGCCTGGGAAAGCATCGTCTGAGTCACGGCATTTCTGACTGTGGGGGTCTCTTGGCTGCAGGTGTAACACAGCTGCCCATAAGGGGTGCATGGCAAGCAGCCATGAGTCACATCCCTGAGGAGGTCCCAACCCCGCATGTGGTGATGCAGTGACTGGAGCCAGGGTGATGGGCAAGCATGGGGCCAGAATCGCTGAGCACCCGGCAAGGAGCAGGAAACACAACTAAGCCACTGGGACAAGCACTGCAGCCAGCAGCTTGACTGCATCAGGCAGGAGCTGAGAGAATGAAGGAAGTGGCTGTCATGGGCCACTGACCTTTCCACTGAGCTCTCAGTTATTCTACCCAAAAGTTTGCACTGTTTTCCAAAGCCTCCCTGAGCCCAGCTGTGTTTGAGCTGGAAACAGGGCCCATGTGGTGCCCCTGTGGCTTGGCCCAATTATAACCCAATCTGCAGCACCTGAGGTTTTTAAGGGCATATCTGTTCCTCTACCAAGCAGGAACAACAGGATCTGATAGGAGATTTAAGTGGAGAGGAGGATGAAAGGAGAGGTGAAGGAAATTAAAAGCCCAGCTAGCTGGAATGTAGCCAACATATAAACCCAGACTATGGACCACAGTAAACTTGAAGCACAACATCTCTGCTTGCAAGGTCCAAACACAGCACTTAGCAGGAGCTTTTGCCTGCCCAACCAAACTTAAATTGCTGACCTGCTCTCTGGCAGCTTCAGTTTGGACACTTGACCCCCTCCCACTAAAGGCCCAGGCAAGAGTAACCCATGCTGCTCCCCAGAACTATTTGAATTGGGGCACCCTGTTTTACAGGTAAAAAAATTAAATCCATCCATGTGAATTGACTGATTCTTCCATCCTGCTGTGCTGGTCTTTTGGGACAGTGAATGGTCCATGGCCTGTTTTGTTTCCTAATACTGACACAGACAGCCAGCAGTAAGTCACAGCTACTCACCATGTATCCTCAAGAACATGGGATAGGTGGAAGCATTGATGCACTATCCTGCACAGGCCCCAGGGAGCTGCTCCTGGCATCATGGGTGACTGGTACTTGTACCTGTAGCTCTGCAGCCTGGTCAGCTTCCTGCCTGCCCTTGCAACAGGCGAGGCTCGCCTGCTTCTCTGCTCCAGCTGGGAGGATGTCCCTGTGTCACACAAGAGCTCTCAGGGGGCTGGAAGTGGGGATCCAGGGGAGGAAAAGGAAGGCTCTCTGCAAACTGACCCTGTATGACAGCTGCCCTGTACGGAAGGACAGGGGGGTGACAACCTGCTGCCTTTGCACTCATCCATTTGAGTTTTCCTTCCAGCCCTGCGTGCTGCTCCTTTACTGTTTCAGTCAGCTGCTCTCAGTCCTGGGCTGTCCTGCTCATCTTTCTCCATTTATCTAGGCCCACTCCAATCTCATGTGGTAGCTCACATGTTTTTTAAACGCATGTGTGTCTTTGCTTTTTTAAACTGTGCAAGGGTAATTAAGACATTTGAACCTTTGAGCAGTCTCTCTATGGAGACACTCCCCATTACGGATAGCCCATCTCAAACAGTAGCTCTTTTCCCAGGCATGGGCCAACTGCAGTGGGAAGAGCCTTCAGCATGCTCCAACTTCCCTTCCAAGAAACATCACCAGTTTGGACCTCTCCTTCAACTCCTTGGTCATGCCCCATCACAGGACTCTCTTGAAGCATTTCCCTTTCCTGCACTCTCTCAACCTCTCCAGCAATGCCAAGCTCACGCTGACCCCAGCAGTCTTCTCCAACCTCGGGGCGCTGCGTCTGCTGGACCTGAGCAGCTGCAGCATCACCTACATCCACATGGACGCTTTCAAGGGCCTGGGAAACTTGCACACCCTGCTTCTAAGAAACAACAGCTTGCAAGAACTTGATGTCCCTTTCCTTTTGCCACTGAAGGCTCTTTTCCACCTGGACCTGCAGCACAACGCGCTGGTCTCTGTGGACACTTGGAGCCTGCAGCTGATGGAGGCAGTCCCGCGGGTGCGTCTGGAAGGGAACCCCTGGGTGTGTGACTGCAGCGCACACCCTCTGCAGCAGTGGCTGCGGCGCAGGCGAGGTGAGTGGAAGGGATGGGTGGCAGGGAGTGTGTCGGGCAGGCGGAATCCCGAGTGTAAGAGTCTTGCTTGATCCATTTGCTCCGACCCCTGGGCAAGGTCTGAGATGGTTCTCTGTCCTATCCTCTTGAGGGATAGCAAACTGAAAGATGATGTGTCTGTTCCTTGCTTGCAGTTATGCAGGATACCAAGGATTTCTAAGAATGTCAGCAAGATAATTTGGCTACTCTTCTAGGAAATGGGTTGTATGTACACTTTGGCCTCTAAATCCATCTTTATGTGTCTTTGTGGAGTGACCACATTTTCACTGTTGAGGAGTCGGCAGCTCCCTCTCTGGAGCCAGGTCAGGCTCCAACCATCTGAGCTCAGCTCCAAGTAAGAGCAGTGGGGTTTCTGTGGGTATCCATGAATTTGTCTGTATCCAGTTTAAAGGAGCTCCTAATCAGAGTCACACAGAGTTTCTTGATCAGGGGATTTTCCCTTTGGTTGTTTCCTACAATTTGCTGAGGGTCAGCAAGTCTGTAAGGCAGAGCCAGGAGCACCTTGCAATGCAACCCATCAACCCAGGAGCAAGCTGGGATCATCTTCTTTGAACTGGAGAGGGGATGGGCACAGACCCCCATCCCACCTTAGCCCATTTGTCTCCCAGCTGTGCAGGTGACCTGCATGTCGCCCCCGGGGCTGAGGGGCCAGGAGATCGCAGCTCTGGATTCTCAAGACCTGGGCTGCCAGATTAAGCAGCGGTTTGCTCGTGGGGTCAGCACACCACAGCCGATCACAGTGACTGAGAACAACAGTAAGTTGTGCGGATTCAGAGGTGTCCATAAGGTCTAGCACCTTCCTGTCCTCCATCATACTGGATGGGGCTGCAGGTGGAGACCCCCTGCTCTGCCCCACAGCCCCAGAGGCGCAGGCTGCTGGGCCACGCTGTGCAGTGGCTTGGTGGGAGGGTGGCCAACTCCTGGAGGTGTTTGCTGGCTTTGTGACAGGAAAGGGCCCACGAAGCCACATGGAGCACATCACGCTCCACAGTGATGTGCAGCAGTACCAGCCAGCTGTCAGGCAGTTTTGCCCCCAGTGTTCACACCCCCTTGGTAGCTGATCTTGGTAAAGAGCATCTGTATTGTTCCTAATGAAAGCGATCTAGTGCTGACTGCACACTGCAGGCAGGCACAGGGCTGGAGGATGGGAAACACTGGGTGTGCCACAGCCTGACCATGTGCCTTTCCTGTGTCACAGCCACTGCACTACCTGCCAGGAAGGGGGGAAGGAGCTGGCCATACCTGGTGGGATTCCTAGTGACAGCGGTTGGCATCTCCATCCTGATTGCACTGGCTGCCAAGTGCAAGCTTGTCCACAAGAACTTCGCCAGCTACCGCCACCGGCCGCTGCCTGAAATCAGCTCCATCGGAGGCAGCCCCATGGAGGATAGCAGCAGCTGGGACAGGGGCTCCTGTGGGAGCCATTCCATAACTGATGCTGCCGACCTGCAAGCTGAGGATGATGATGGCTTCATCGAGGACAACTACATCCAGCCCAGTGAGCAGCTGCCAACAAAAGAGGAGCAGGAGTTGCATCGCTCCATCTGAGCTTATAAGCTTGCAGCTCAGCCACCACTGCTGCGGCCTCTTGCTGTCTCCCTAGCTCCACCTTTTCCTACCTGTCCTTGGCTTTGGGCCCCACAAGTTTGGGGCAGGAGGAAGGGAGCAGAGAGGAGGGGAGAGAGGGATGGGCTAGGAATGGTTATGGAGGCTGAAGGCAGCTGGTCCCAGAGTGTCCCAGCCTGACACCAGTAGGCTGTGCTGTCACAGGGGCACCAGACCAGGTGCTGCTTTCCCAGCCTTGCTTGGATGCTGGGGATGAAGGAGGTGGTGCCTGTCGTGCCCGGGAAGGCAGGTGAAGTGGGAGGAGGATCCTGCCCTGGTGCTGCCATGGGGTCTTGGGCGCTGGCCCCACTGCCCCATGACACCAGACCCAGCCCTGCTCTGTCCCTCAATGCATTGTCACTCTGAGGTGTGATTAAAGCATGATTTAGCCCTGCCTCTGCCTGCAGTGGTTTGTTGGGACTCTCCCAGTGGCAGTGCTGGGAGGAGACCCCCAGCCCCACAGCTTTTTTTGCATGTGCTTTCAAGGACCATAAATACATTCCTCTAACTGTGACAATGAGAGACCGCGTCTGTGGCACAGTGAGTGCTCTTGTCCAAGCAAATATTTCACCTGCTGTGGTGCAGGCAGCCCTGGTGCACCATCACAGGGTTTCTGTGCATGTCTCTCCAGCCATGGCCCTTCTTTCTTTTCTCTCTTTCTTCTCCAGGAAGACAAGCTCAAAGACACCTTTCCCCTGTCAGTTCTGCTGAGCTGAGCAAACTCATCAGTGCTGCCAGATGCAGTGCCAGGCCCATGCACTAGGGCGAGGTGACCCTCTCTCCCAGCACCCATTACAGAGTTCCATGTGTCAACTGTGTTCAACTATGGAGTTGTACAAATGCGATAATTTTTACATTCCTGTCATCTTTGTGGTACCATGAACAGCACATGAGATACAAGTAACTGCAAGTTATTTCTGCTGGAGTTGGTCGTGCGTTCATGGGTTACTCTGGAGTTAAAAGCAGGGAGCAGCAGTGGCATTCACCTTTAGTAAGTGATTCATAAGGCTGGTACCAACCGATTGGGAAGATTTCCCAGGGCACGGCCCAGTCATTACCATCCCTGATAGCTCAGGAGTCTCTTCGTCATGCTCCAGAGCATGAGATAACACAGGACATCATTTCCCAAAGCTCTGCTACACAGCTAATTCCCCCACCTCCTTCAAATCTCTATTTCACTGCTAACTGCCTTTCTATTTCTCCACTCATTAAAACATTTAGTGTATAAAAAAGGTAGATAATACACCTCAGAGAATACAAACCAAAAGGGAAAAATGGGTCAGGCATTGGATGGATGAGACAGGCTAGAGGGCAAATGTGCCACTTGAAGCCTGGAGCAGGAGGAAAACCTGCTGGCTTCTTTCAGTGGTCAGCCAACTTTTGCTCTTAAATGCCATGTTTCTAAAGTGAGCTTTACTTTGTCAGTTACTGTCTCATAATTTGCCTTCTGGGCTCATCAGCTACCTATGAAAATACACTATACACTGTATTTTTGGAAATTTCTAATATCTTTTGTGGAAGAGATTTAAATCTGAGGGCTGGGAAAAAGCATTTCAGTAACCTTTTGTGGGGTATTTTCTGGGCTTTTCAACATGCTTTTCAGTCACATGAATTCATGCTAGATGCAGTCTTTTCTTTTTAGTCTTGGTGATGTCTTAAAAGAAGTTAAAAATACAAGCACCCAGGCTTATTTGTCCAGGATCTTACTCACCAGTCCCTCAGCACTTAGTGGTTTGATGGCTTGTCTACTTTGACCCTGTTCATAAGTCCACCCATTTATTTTTTAGCCAAGCCGACATGGCAGGTTTTCGTGTGTATGTGTGTGTGTGTGTGTGTGTGTATTTTCTGCCCCCTCTCAGGCAGCTGCAGTGCAAGTGGGCAGGCACCTGGCAACTCATGTCTGGGGGGAAATACATCTGGCATGCAGAGCTGGGAATACAAGGGGTCAGAGCATGAAAAGGAGGATCCTTCTCCAGGGGTCCACCCAGGAAGCTGCCATGAGGGCCTGGCTGAGGCTGGCTGGGAGCAGGAGCAGGTATGCAGGCAGACTGGTTCCAGGTGCGAGGCTCAGCCCTGCCACAGGGTGAAACAGCTTCTTTGTAAACAAACTAGCCAGCACTACACATTCAGGAGGCTTTGTGTGCTCCATGTGAGCATCTTTCAGGGGCATGGTGAGGTCTCAGGTTCACAGAGCAGTGGTTAAGGGGATCTGGATACATCTGGATTCTTAAGCAGAGAGAGATTAACATGCATCTGGAGGTGGGAATTGTGTATCAGGAAAGAAGTACATGCATTTTTCGGGCTCTGGTGGCGTTGCCACACTAGCTGGTGATCCAAAACCACAGCCACACGTGGGACCCTGGGCTGTTGTGGTTACTGCCCTGGGCTGAGGCCAGCCCTGAAAAGCCCTGACACCTCTGCTCTGCAGAGAGGCCTGCATTCAAGTACCAGCCTTCAACACAGTCAACTTCTCTAACACTTTATTACGTATGTCCACACACAACACATGAACCAAGAAACAAAGCAGCGCCTGTGCTGCAGAGGGGAGTCAGTGATTGGGCAGCACCGGCTGTCCATCTGGGCAGCTGGACACCCAGCCACCATCTTCAGGCACAGCCTGTTCTTAGCCATTATCTCCTTGGGTTGCTGTCATGGCCCACAGTCAATCACCCTTTTCTGGCACAAGTCACAGGCACTTGGGGCATGTTTTGAAGGGGCTGTGGAGGGGACAGGATTCACATTGACACGCAGGCAGGACGGAGCTGCGAGCTGGGCACAGTCACGCCTCTTCACAGAAATGCCCAGATGTGCAAAACAGCTGGTGTGCAGGCAGCTGTGGCCTGTCAGCACATGCAGGCTGGTGGAGCTGGCAGTCACTGCTGCACCACTGGTGCTGGCAGAGGGGGCACAGCCTGGAATAACTGCACCTGCACTGACACAGACCTGCAGAGCAGCAGCAATGGTGATGGTGTGCAAGACCACTCAGCTCTGACCTGTCCCCTCCTGTGTAAGCACAGGGCTCCCTGGTGGTCCTGAGGCCAAACAGCCCAGAGGGGAAGAACAGCTCAGCTTTGAAGAGATTTAGCACAGGAGGATCTGAGCTCACCACCATTCTGAGCTCCTTCTTCTGAGCTCCTGGACAGATTAAGGGAGGAGATGCAGAGAGAAGAGGAAACAGCAGTTTAATAAAATCTACAGAAGATGTGAAAGTGGCAGAGGAAAATGTAGAAATAACAGAGATACAGAGACAAAAGCTCAAATGATGTACCTGTACATTGGGGAAAACAATCCAAGGCTTCAGGCAAAGGAGCAGGGAGCAGGGCAAGAGCAGGTGAATACAGATGTGGTTTCATGAGATTTCACTGCATTGGGAATGGTTGGTCTGGAGCTGTGAAGGGGTGAAGCCCTCACTGACCAGCTGATGGTGAGCTCTGACACTGCCTCCAGGTGTAACATGGACAGTGATTTGTGCTGTTAGCAAGGGAATCAGCTACCATCCTCTTCCAAATGAATTTGCTACCAGGCACCAAAAAACAATAGCTCAGTCTTGTTCCATAGCAGAGGACACTTGGCAAATAATGAGCAAATCCAACATCTGGGGCTGAGCAACTCAGGTGAAGGAAAGATGGGAGCTGACAAGATGAAGAATCACAGAACAGTGAGCAGGAAGGGGTTCAGAAGGATCACAGAGTCCAACTCTTAAGAGAATGGCCCACAGGGGGTTTAAACCCATGACCTTGGTGTTATTAGCACCATGCTCTGACCAACTGGCTAAGAGGAGGAGAAGGTCATGCAGGAGCATCTTCAGCAGGAGGTTGGGATCTATGTCTATGGAAAGGGCAGTGAAAGGGTTAGTGAGTCTATGAGGGAAAGTCTAATTTACCTGAGAAAATTCTCATTAAGTCACAGGAAAAGTTCCTGGGGTGAATTGTTAGTCTGCCTCTGGTAGAGACACCTTGGTGATAAAACAGGACACCTTGTAGAGATAAAACACCAAAAAAGCTCCAGGTAAAGCCCAAGTGACAGTAGAGGAACTTTTCTGCCCTGTGGCAGCTGCAGCACTTGGGAGACAGAAACAGCATGGAAACAAGCAGGGACTGGGATGAGCTGCAGGGCTCCTGGCAGCAGAGGTGCCTCTGCCTGGGAAGCTCCTGTGGGAGGGCACAGCACTCTCCCCTCACACAGCTTTTGCAGAGGGCAGCCCCAGGATTTGGGTATCCCATCACCATCCCCCAGCAAGTGCACCGTGCTGTTTGTGGCTCATGCAGCTGGAGCATCCTGGCATGATAACAGAGCCCCAACACTCAGTCCAGCACAGATAATCCATCAGGGCCTTGACACCAACACCCCTTGATCACCCCTTTGATAAACCACAGGTGATGGTGGGCTGCAGAAACGTAACACTGGAACAGATACTGGCATTGCAAACACAAAAAGCATTTCATGTGAGGTCCAGCCATGCTGTGGCTCTGGCACACACAATCCTATGCAAATCCCACACTCACTCCCACAGGCATCAGTGATTTCTTGGAGCAGCCCCTGCAGCCATACCTCCCACCAGGCTCCCTCATGCCTGCTGATGTGCAAAATATCTCCTGCCATTCACCAGCTGCTAGAGGCTCTACTTCACTCAGGAGCTGGAGGCTCTGCACAGAGCACAGGTTGGTTTTATACCACCCACAATTACAGCCTCTCCTGCCAGGAGAGTGTATGACACCGTTCCAGGAACTGCAGGAACCAAACAAGTACTGGGGTCCCAGAGGTACAAGACAGGCTCACCTTCACTCTGTAACATGGGTCACAGCCAGGCAGGCAGCAGCTGACACAGGAGGCTTTGTGGAGATAAAATGCCAGCCAGGTCAGAGCCCGTCCAAGTGCCCTGAGTCTGTGCTGTGCCACCAGCCTGGGGCAAAGCAAATGCCAGTCGTCTCCAACAGGAACAC